TTTTGCAAGTCTTGACCCACTTGTTGCCACTCTCATATCTGCCAGGCCATAACTCGTTGCTGCAGAGTGGATAAACTACAAATGAGGGAACAGTTGATGCTGGGAATATGCACTGGAAAATTGGCATGAATTGTAATGCAGGATGTCGATACATCACCAGCATTGAGATGTTGAGCCATGACTTGCTCAAACCGAATCCAATAGCTGTTGTGGATTCTGCTTCTGCTGCTACTGTTGCCGACAGATAAGTAGTATGTGCAATTGCCCCATGGAAATGACAGCTTGAGTTGCCACTTCGTTTCGAACACTTTGGCTCAACCAATCCGATCCCGGTAGACATGGCGAACTACCGTGAAAACCACTCAGAAATAGCAAACTAACTTATTGGGGTTTAAAGCACACTAAGGGGTTAGAGTCAAGTATTTTCGTAGCACACGTTGCATTCCTATTAAGGAGCTCGACCAGACTTCACAAATGCATTTGAGTGGAAGAAACTACCTCCTCAAACATGGCAGCAACAAAAGCATGTTGGGATGACAATAAGGGCAGCTGTGTCTTTTGCGTCCTGAGTTGGTAGGTGGTTCATTTGCCACGACATGTAGCAAAATGTGTCCTGCAAAGGACTGAATAATCTCAACACACTCAATCTGCAGCATTGACATAGTCTGCAATCTCCATGCTATTGAATGAAATATCTCTAGGAGTCAAACGTGACCTCGGGGATTGATTAAGCTAACATCTTCATCTCAACCACAACCAGTGGTCGTGACTGTTGACACGGACATGGACATGAGCATTAATCACGTCGGCATGGGATAAGGCACGACCTGACCTGCTGCTAGGCCACCAATTCGCTTAAAACATTTAAAAGCGCATTTGGGGAGAACTGGCCTCAAAATGCGTCAAATGCTCGATGACGTCTGCACATGTATTGTTCGAGAGCAGAAACATGGAAGGAAAATAACCTTAACCCGAAAGTGGATCTATTTTGAACGTGTTCAATAAAATATTGAACGAGGGTACCTTGAAGGTCGTGAATGTTACTAGTGAATGCGAAGAAAGCTTTGAGGCTTAAAATCTACCTCATTATGATAACATACGTTCAGACATTTATTCACAGCTCTTGGCATTTTATCGGATTCCTTCGTGAATTTGGAGGCGTTCAGGCCAGCCTACCTCCATCCTGAAGCAATAATATTCTTCGTACTTTCACCTACATGAATTCAATAAGAAAGCTTAAGGTATTACCTTATGAAGGCATTATTTACGTTGGCTTGATTCAATTGGCTCTCGTCCATGCAACAAGATACGTGGTGCATTTCCCTCAAACTATAACAGCTAAGTACCGATTTGTCGTTTTGGAAGGGGTTTGATGTAATCCTATTCGTAGACATACGTGAGCATGGTGGCAAAATGCTGCCTCGAAGAGACAGTCGCCATGTCAGATCTGGTGTATCATGCACAGAGCGACGACATTACAACAATGGACTGGTTGGAAGTGCACAGCCTAGCCTACCCACAGCCGTATGTGCAATGGCAATGTGGGTGGAATGAAGAATCCTGCAAATTCCTGGTTTCCATTTCAATAGCATAGATGGCGTTCATCAGTCACAGCTGTCGTCATTCTTAATTACATGAATTGACTTTAACTTAAGGAGTAATAAGATGAATCAAATAGATTTACACGATATGCAAATGACGACATCATGCAAAGGAATGAACACATACCTACACTAGACTACTCCGAGTGTGAGATCTACATCTCTGCTTTCTTCTATTGGCCGCCATGATAAGACGTCCATAATGCTGGTCCCCTAAATTGACGGGAACTCAACAGTTCCCCTCCCCTCATCCTCCCTCTCTTTCTCTCTTTCTCAGTCCGTCTGTCTGCCCTAGTGCAAACCTTCCCCCGAGATGTGCTGCTGACCTACTCCGAATCACAATGTTGGACTGAATGTTGTGCTACCAAATGGCATATTCAGGGTGAACAGCTCTTGACCCTACCATCAGCATGGTTGCTGTCACATATTGGGGCATGAGCTCTGGTCTAGCGCCAATCACTTTGAGTTGGATGTCATGGTAGTGTTAATAGAAGGATATGACTATGACTACTCTACACAAGCGAAAGCTCTGCAAGTGCAAACACGCACCGCGATATGACTCCAAGCAGAACAGGGAGCAGGGATACATTCAAGTTCTGCGCTTATCAATGCATTCAGATGGTTTAGCATTGCGATGACACCTATGACACTGCATCATTGATCACATGATTGATTTGACCAACAATGTAGGAGCCTGGTTGGTGGGGTCTGTGAGGAGCGAGTGACCAATCAACGGTCGTGAACGGATGATTATATAAGCAAGAGCACTTAGGTGGCATCGCAAATAGGTACTGCGATGACGAACGAGGTGACAGTTTCATTCTCAAATGCTCCACCGAGCGTCGTTTACGAAGTGTGCAAATATCTGACATTGAAAGAACTCTTCGATCTTTGTGCAGCCTTCCCCAATTGGAAATGGATACTCTCCTGTTTGCCAACACTGAAGCGGTACTGCCGTAATTGGAATTGGGTGGACAAGCCACTCTGTGAGCCGCTGTTTACGGATAAGCCTCTTCCTTCTGACAGTATTCTCCAGGCCCTAACCCACCGTCTTCATCAGATTAACTTCTTCGACTGCTTCTTGAAGAGAATGCGGTCG